ATTAGAACACTCCAGGGAAGGGTTCTGTAAAAAATCATTTTTAAAATTCGCAAGGGTGGCGCCACGGTATAATGGGATTTTTCTAAATATGCGGTATATAAAAATAAAAGACTATTGCGGTTCGACGCAATTTATCCCAGTGCCATAAAACTTTAGGGAGTTGATGAATACTCTTGAGAAGTTTTCTGGTGTGGGAGGGGGAAATAGGGGTATGTGGGTGGTGGGGGCGGGGGATTTAATTTTGCATGGCCCCACCCCCGGCAGGATGCGATTTGGCGCCCTGGTCTTTCCCATGAGCGCTATGGTGAATACGTTCGGTCTAAACAGTGCAATAGACAATGGATAGGATGGGGCGTTACAAACGCTTACTAAATTGAGTCAGGCGTGTCCTCTGGCGCCCTGGTAGGGTGCGATTAGGCTGCAAATAAAAATGCCTCGGCCCCAAAGGCTCACATGGGCCGCTGAGGGCCATGTAATACGTTTTATTTTAATAATGAGAAAAATTAACCAAGGTTAGATTATTAACAGTTTCGTCACTTTGCGAATGATGCAATTAGCATCTATTTTTAGATAATCCAAACAGAAATTGAGATCGAGCATCTAAGAATAGACCATTACTAACGCTAACATATTGCATCAGTAACACTGATGTTTAAAACGCGTCAAATATTTTTTTACGTGTTAAATAACAAATTCTGTTCATTTGTGTCACTTAGTGAATGACGCAATCTGCATCATTGTTAACAGGATGCTATTTGAAGGAGCCAGGGGTCGTACTCCGCGCCTATGCAGTAGTATAATAGGGGGGGGGGCTCCTTAGAGCGGACCTCTACGTCTCTGACACATGGGCGGTCACCGAAGTGTGTTCTACCATATTATTTTGGTGAGTGATTAATGTACACTCAAGGTTTTCATGCGGTACTGTAGGTAAACCCGTGTCCTGATATTTATGATCCAAACGCAGGCATTGTTTACATTTAAATAACTGATTTTTAGAAAAGAAGGTCACGCGTCTAAGAACATATGATTGGTAACGCGTTGGTAAAATCCTTCTAATATATTTCGTCAAACTTTCTTCTATCCCCGCGGCAACGGGCGGGGGTCGGGTACGCTAGTATATATATATATATATATATATATATATATATATATATATATATATATATATATATATATATATATATATATATATATATATATATATATATATATATATATATATATATATATATAAAGCAAAGTGGGCGCGTCAAATTTGGCACGATGGTGCCTTCGGTCGATAGAACACGAAGGCCGGTGACGGTTGGCCGAAAAGTCTACGGAGAGGGGGTCAAAACTGACCTCGACTGACCGGTGCCTTATATGGGCTATATTACGAAAAAACTTTTCCTCCGACGACCCCCATTGAAATTTTGTGAGGTGGTAGGAGAACGCCTTGGGGTGTCACAAAAACTCGCCATGTACGGGAAAAATCGGGAAATGGGTCAAAACTGACCAGTCGTATTTCCCTATATAATGTTTGTATTTTATGGAAAAAACAGAGGGTCATTTCAAATCGGATTTTAGGGCACTTACCCTCTTTACATCTGGCTAATTTTTGGCATGTTTATAGGTAAATGGCTTGGCCGTAGGGCAGACCTGCCAGTTTCACTCAAAGCCCTCAACGAGGGCTAAAAAGTGACCGCGAGTGAAATTCTCTTAATATGACCTCTATTACGAAAATTTTTTTCCTCCGACGACCCCCCTTGAAATTTTGTGAGGTGGTAGGAGAACGCCTTGGGGTGTCACAAAAAACTCGCCATGTCCGGGAAAAATCGGGAAATGGGTCAAAACTGACCAGTTGTATTTCGCTATATAATCTTTTTATTTTATGGGAAAAACAGAGGGTCATTTCAACGCAGATTTTAGAGTACTTAAACTCAGTATATCTGGCTAATTGTTTGCATACTCTTAGGTGAATGGCTTGACCTTTAGGAAAATCTGTCGGTTTCACTCAAAGCCCTCGAAGAGGGCTAAAAGTGACCGCGAGTGAAATTCTCTTTATATGAGCTCTATTACGAAAAAAAATTTCCTCCGACGACCCCCCCTTGAAATTTTGTGAGGTGGTAGGAGAACGCCTTGGGGTGTCACAAAAAACTCGCCATGTCCGGGAAAAATAGGGAAATGGGTCAAAACTGACCAGTTGTATTTCCCTATATAATCTTTGTATTTTATGGGAAAAACAGAGGGTCATTTCAACGCAGATTTTAGGGTACTTAAACTCAGTATATCTGGCTAATTTTTGCATACTCTTAGGTAAATGGCTTGACTTTATGGAAAACTGTCGGTTTCACTCAAAGCCCTCGACGAGGGCTAAAAAGTGACCGCGAGTGAAATTCTCTTTATATGAGCTCTATTACGAAAAAAAATTTCCTCCGACGACCCCCCTTGAAATTTTGTGAGGTGGTAAAAGAAGGCCTTGGGGTGTCACAAAAAACTCGCCATGTCCTGGAAAAATCGGGAAATGGGTCAAAACTGACCAGTCGTATTTCCCTATATAATCTTTGTATTTTATGGCAAAAACAGGGAAATTTTAACACAATTTTTAGGTTACTTAACGTCTGTACATCATGCTAAGTTTTTACATACACTACTATAGATGACTATGCCGTATGGAAAAACTGTTGGTCAGACTCAAAGCCCTCGACGAGGGCTAAAAGATTATCGTGAGTGAAATTCTCCTTATATGAGATATATATGCATATATATATATATATATATATATATATATAAACAGACGAACGATCCCCTTAATATTATATGACGTCGTAGACCGACCCTGGAGGGTAACAAAAAAAAATTATTCCCGTCGGAAACAGCCATTATAGTCGTTAAATATGTTCATATACCGTAATTTCTTATATAAGCATAGCAACTGTTTGTAAAAAAAAAAAGTAAACAAAGACTTACATCATACGTTCAGTTTTCAAGGGAGGTAACGTTTGTAAAATTATTATTTTTTAAATAATTGTATACTTTTTTAAACAGAAACAGAAAATGACGAAGTATAGCATTTGTTTTAGTACAAAATTAAGTTGTTAATTTAGTTACGTATCCTAATTAAATAAATAAATACATTTTAAAAGGCAATGTAATATAAACTATGAGATATACTGTTCATGAAACCTGTGTAGTTCTAATTCCATTTTAGTTATAGATTGCGTACTTTCCAATATTTCTCTAAGTACGGTATTTAAATGACGAACAAAAACATTTTTTTTCTATAGTTAGCAATACTTTTTAAATTAAAGCACTCCACACCCAATCCATCGCTAAATAATTAAGTATTCAAATTCTCAAATGTTATTTAAAAACCTAAGCGAAGCTAGGCAGTATGCCTAGTATATATATATATATATATATATATATATATATATATATATATATATATATATATATATATATATATATATGTTTTGTTTTTAAATTGAAAATATAAAATATCGTCTTGTTATAAAATACATATTTTTAAAATTGAAAGTTATGATAATTTGCAGGAACGTGCAGTTTCATATACTTAAACCAACGTAAGGTAGTTGTCACAACCACCTCTCCATTTTACCTAAACTTGTAACTTTTCATGCTTACTATAACACAGAAGATTTTTTTTTTAAATTTCAAATGTTTCTGGATTTTGATCAGTAATTTGTTTTAAAATATTTTATAAAATGTTGTTGTAAATATTTAGTTTGAAGTATAACCTTAAAGTATTAAAACATTACATTAATCAACTTACCTCCAACGCTTATTTCTTTTTTCTGAAAAAGATGTGACTTTAATCACCCACTCGTGTAGGAAATTTCTCTTCATAGAAAATTCAAGAACACCTGTTTAGTGGAAAGGTAATTTTGGGAAAATCCGCAGCTCGTTGGCAGCCTTTGATGTTTGATAGAGAGACATAGCTTTTGTTTTCTATGTAAAGTGTGTTTTCAAGAAATATTCTAAATTATGTAATTCTTTACTCAGAAAAAATGATGTGTCATTTTCCCATAAAACTGGTTAGCATTTCCTGTTTTCTTGTGGTAATTTTAGACTGAATGCTGGTGGGTTTTTTTTGCTCCAGCTGATGATTTTCTGACTCTATAGACAGAACTATATGAGAGCTGGAGAAACCAGTTCTATGTTGGACAGGTATGTTTGTAATTATGCATGTAGTTGTGTATTTATGTATTTATGTTTGTATGTATGCATACTTATATTTGTTTTATTTACCACTTTTTAGTAATTTGTTTTAAATTAAGGTAACACCACATAGGCTACGACTAAACATACTTGCTTATACACCCGACCAGTAGCTTGCAAAAGACAATTATCTTCCCCTTCTTGGTTCATGGTAGACGTTCAGGCAAAACAATCACTCAGCCCTGAAAGAAAACTTCACAGCCGACAGCCGACTGATAGAGCGATGGCTAGTATTCCATAGTTTTACTTTTACGCTTATAGTTAGACACTTTTGGTATTTAATTTTACACTCTGTATTATTTATCCCCTTCAAATCTGAAGGTAGCCCTGGTAATCGCTATTTTAATGGTAATTGCGATTTTTTTATTCCAAATGTGCTAGTTAAGCCAGACTTGGAAGTTTTTCTGTGTTGATATGATGCAAAATGCAACTGATAAAACGTTTACACTGTTGAAAAGAACAACATTAACTCTAGTGTGTTATATTTTCTTGGTTACATATTAGACTGTGGAAAAACACATACAATATAAAACATCTTTTTAAAAAGTAAGATGTTTTATTAAAGGGTATCAATAAAATAGCCCTGTTTTAATTTATAGAAATTTGTTGTCAAATAGATGACCGTATGGCTGCTCGTTCGGATCTCGGTTCAGACTTGTGACTGTAGGGCATCCCTGAGTCAACTCAGCTCTTATGGATACCTGACTTACGCTGGGTAGACTAAAGGCGGCTGGGCATAGTGCTGGTTACACATCCAATCAAATGCCGAGGTCAAGAAACATATGAACTCTACTTTATCTGCCTATAGATCGCTACGTCTAAAATAGTATCTTTACTTTTCTTTAATTTATACCTGAAAATTCACAATTCACACAAATGTATTACTCCTAAGACACAGCCAATGGCAGAGAATCATCAAGAAAACTTAATTGCTGGCCTAATGTTTGTGCAATATGTGAAAGACAAAATGCAAGAGGAGGGTCTAACTATACCGCATTCTCAATGTTTGTAAGTAACATTAATATATCAATGAATGCTTGATGTACAATTTTTAAATGCCACTCTAAATGCAAAAGTCTAATGTCAGTAAGTACTGTTAATGTCATGGAATGCTGATAAGCGCAATAATTAATAATCGTTAAATCGTTTTTTTTTAAAGTTCACTAATTTCTTTCACTTGCTTGAATTTAGTTTCTATTATATCCGTGTAATTGCCATTTTTATGGTTACATGTATGACGCAACATTTGTAAATTTAATTTATTTCCGTCAAACACACCTCATGTCTTTGAAATATCGAAGTTAGCTGTGTATGTCAATATAAATGACGGTGCATTATTATATTTAAAGACTAGTATTTAGTTTCTTCAATTGATAAACTAAAGCTATTTATAATAAACGTTTTAAGTGGAATTTTTATTTACAGTTGCTAACTATTAATAATAGTATATTGTTACTTGCTTATCTCTGCTGTGGGCTAGTTTGGTTTACATAGTGTAGTGGCCCCTTTATATACTAATTTTTATAATATCAGAATCTGCAATCACAATCCAATTTTTAAAATATTTTTACATTATTACAGGAATGTGGATTTACCACTAGGCATCCAGGAGACTTACAAAAATCTCAAGCAATTTTTAGATTCATCAACATCTACAGCGTATGATATAATGACAGTAGCCATGGAGGTACACTATTGTAACACCCTATATTTATTTATCGCTCATATGTTAACAAATATATATATATATATATATTGTTTTATGAACGATCGTACTCAATGTTACTCAGGATGACCCAATGGATCAAAAACTAATCATGCAGCAAACGATTCAAACATTATTGAACACGTCCGATAAAACTCTACTCATCGCACGTATTTGTGTGGTATTTCACTACTACTACTGTAATGTAATGAGGATAATGAACATAGGTACTGGGGAGCTCGATAACTTTTTATGCCTGTGCTCAGAGGTTTTCTCTGTGGAAGTTGATAAGAAAGTTTCAAGTATTGGGGGATGGGTAAGTTTTCAATTCAGTTTGTCTTTAAGTTACATAGGGCACTCAGAATAATTAATATCTGCTCCAAGATTGATAAAATTCAGTTTCCATATTATTATTATTATTATTATTATTATTATTATTATTATTATTATTATTATTATTATTATTATTATTATTATTATTATTATTATTATTATTATTGTTGTTGTTGTTGTTGTTATTATTATTGTTGTTATTATTATTATTATTATTAATTATTATTATTATTATTATTATTGTGGCACAATTTGCATTTTATAGAAATCCAAAACTTGTACAACGACTTGTACATTTTATTTTTTATACGATGTATTTAATTTTGTTTGCTAACGAATACAGTGTGTTGATACTGTCTGAAGTAGAAGCATTAGCTAGGGTACATGTAATATAAGCTCTCACTGATATTTAATTTCAGGAGACTTTTCGACCTTACCAATCGACTACAACACGAATGCAAGATGCCTATAGACGATGTTGCACATGGACCAAAAATAAGCTACATTTAAACAAGGATGTTTAATTTGATAGTCTACTTTACACTTCATCATGTATATGTATATGTTTATACCACCGTCCCTAAATGCGACATGGCGAAACATCGGATGAAGTCTACTACATCTTGCTTATACGCCGTCGGCTCGTATACTGAACACAGAAGTTTATACAAGTAGAATGTTGCATGGTCATCTTCCTCTTTAATCTACAATTTGAAATAAAGTCATTGGTGGTTTTGGTCAGTAACATCAGAAATATAATGTTTGATTAAATAATTAATTTTAAACACTAGCATATTCATGACGTAGGCCTAATTGTAATTTTGTTTTAATAAAACACTCCTTAACTTGCTTAAGTATAAGGTAAAACCTTGATGCTCTGATTAAAGAATTACATTATTAAGGACACGTATCGTTAAGGACAAAAACTATTTAGTCATATGTATTGTTTTTGTATTATGTTAGTAGTCTACTTAGAAGTCACAAAATACATTAAATGCATTTATCTGTGGAATATTGTTTAAGTATAAGTAGCAACTTTATAAGAAATGGATGCAAATTATTTGGCATCTAAGTTCTCCACAAATTGATTGTCATTCACTCACTCATGTTCGCATACACACGTTCCAACTCACACACACACACACACACACACACACACACACACACACACACACACACACACACACACACACACACACACACACACACACACACACACACACACACACACACACACACACACACACACACACACACACACACACACACACACACACACACACACACACACTGTCAAATGTTTCATTGCATCCTAAGCTAATTTTACTCGCCGGTGTAGCCCCGCCCTCTAACTTTACTTCCTTATCTTATTTTTGTGGCGTCTTGGGAGAAAAGGGCTGCAACCACACCTCTCCACCTGACTGGGATTTGAGCAACTCTCATGTATGCGCCCATGTAAACCTGCCAGCCCTTGCCTCTTCAGCTACTGATCTTCTCCGAGATGTCCTTGACCGGCCAACTTCCTTTTCCTCTGTCGATTCCAGTCTAGAGCTTTCGTCGCGATGTTGTCCTCTTCTCTTCACGTGGTATGCCCAACCCACCCCCTTCCCTTTGTATGTTGCCTCAGGACTTTGATAATTTGACAAGCTTAACTAACCAAACTAGATATCACATACTATTTTATAGATTTTGAAGTGTTCATTAGGTTTTTAAATGCCAAGTTTTCTAATATATACAAAATTATACCGGGAATATAACTCTGTTACACATTTTCTATTATTTTTAACAAACTTTTTTTTTTAATTTTTATATTATTAACATAATAGTGTCGCTAATCTTGTTTGGTGTGCTAGAAACAGCAGGGTTTGTATTAAACTTGTTGTCATGAGGATTCGTAGCGGTGATGGACAATGATGAAATATTATCGTCGGGAATATTGGAACTTTTTGGCGTAAACTACATTATAGGGTGATAAAGACTTTTTACCACACAAATAACCTACATCTATACCTCCTGAACACGCAGCAACAACAACAGTAATTTTGTTTTAAAAAAGGGGAAGCTAATGTCTAAAAATTAATATAAATTATGTTTTGGATTATTTTTCCTGAAAACTAAAATTAGTTACATTTTTTGAAAGCACAAGTCGAGTAGTTGTTCCCAGAGTGGAAAACAGTTTCCATCACTTGTGTAACAAAACCACAATTCTACCCATGTTATCTGGCTATATCTGACGTTTTAGGGACTATGGTGTAGATCAGGGGTCTCCAAACTACGGCCCGCGGGCCGGATGCGGCCCGCGAAGTTCTCTCATCCGGCCCGCGGAGATCTTTTTGTCCAAGGAAAAATCGTCTGTTTGTGATGGCTGAGGAACTTTGCCCAGAAAAATCAAAGACATGCCTGGAAGAAACTGGCACCCGAACTGAAATTTGATGGGTAATGCGGCCCTCGGACTGAAAAGTTTGGAGACCCCTGGTGCAGATGTTCGCTAGGTAGTCACCTTATGATTCCCAACACATTTTTACAGCTGTATTAAGCGTCCGGGGGAAGGGGGTAATTGTTATTTTTTCACCCTAAACCAACAACTGACACAAACAGCATGTAATAAAGATTAATTATCCAACTAAACGTCTCCCAGTCCAGCCTAAACATTATAACTTAATTAGAATTGATTACTCTTGCCTTAATTAATGAATTAACTTCCAAATGTAATTAACTCGTTTATTTAAAAAAAAGGAGGAAATAGCAAAAATGAATAATTTCCTAGAAATAAAAAAAAAATCTTTTGTTGATTTCGCATTCACATGTAAATTTATTTTTAACTAAATTTGGCACTCATGAAAGGAAATAAGTTTACAGTGAACGCTTTCTATAATTTACACCCTTAATGTTGCAGGCAATTACTTTATTGTGGGGCAATGTCTAGGGTAGAGAACTAATTTGAAGTCTTTAAGCACCAGACATTGAGCCTTTAGTGAACTGATGTGAAAGTACGGCTCTAAAGAATACCATACCATACCATACCATACCATACCATACCATACCATACCATACCATACCATACCATACCATACCATACCATACCATACCATACCATACCATACCATACCATACCATACCATACCATACCATACCATACCATACCATACCATACCATACCATACCATACCATACCATACCATACCATACCATACCATACCATACCATACCATACCATACCATACCATACCATACCATACCATACCATACCATACCATACCATACCATACCATACCATACCATACCATACCATACCATACCATACCATACCATACCATACCATACCATACCATACCATACCATACCATACCATACCATACCATACCATACCATACCATACCATACCATACCATACCATACCATACCATACCATACCATACCATACCATACCATACCATACCATACCATACCATACCATACCATACCATACCATACCATACCATACCATACCATACCATACCATACCATACCATACCATACCATACCATACCATACCATACCATACCATACCATACCATACCATACCATACCATACCATACCATACCATACCATACCATACCATACCATACCATACCATACCATACCATACCATACCATACCATACCATACCATACCATACCATACCATACCATACCATACCATACCATACCATACCATACCATACCATACCATACCATACCATACCATACCATACCATACCATACCATACCATGATGTTAGGTTGCTTTTGTCAAGTTATATCAAGACATCTCTATAGCCTGACTGTTGATGTTGGGTTAGATACTGTGGTTAGGATTAGCGTAAAGGTTTAGTTTAAAATTATCGTGAGGAGCTAGGATTAACTTTTTTGAGAACATGAGATCTATTAGCATATGTGTGTTGTTTATGCTAAAGTGTTAGCTGAGTTTGTCAAAACTGAACTTGAAATATTTAATTAAATAAACACTATTAATGAATACATGGCAATTTATATACACTTTTAAATCAGAAATTGTCTGTGTTTGCTATCTTAGAATGTAAATCTTAGTCCTCTTTTCTTTTTTTTTTTATTAAAGCCGCTTGTATTAATGTTTGCTTTTAAGAATGCCTGGTGTACTTATCGTCCACTGTATCAAATTATTTAATTGATCACTGCCCAATTAGTCGGTACCCTCGCACTTTACCTTGCTCCCAATCACTGACCTCATTAGCAGACAACCAATTAGAGTACATGTTTAGTTCAGGTGTACCACTTTAATTAATGAGTGACGGGGCTGCAGTAAAAAAAAAATTAATGAGTGACGAGGCTCGAGTAAAAAAATTAATCAGCTTTGCCATTAATTTGTCAATGAATAAAGTTGTCCATAATAATGTAGTTGTATGTTTATTAATATAGTTTGGGGTTCCGTTGTTTTGATGAAACGTCTACCCGGCTTATATAACACAACAAAGCGATTGATTGGGATAGTAGACTTATCAGGCTAATTTAGGCCAGTAGGTTGAAAAGTTTAATTAAGGTTATCTCGCGGTGACGTATGTTGTGTAAGAATTGCTTTAACACATTTATAGACGTCAGGTTGTGATTTTTTAAACAGAAAGGTTGACACAACAAGGTGGGGGTGGGGGTGGGGCGAGGGTGTGGGTGGGGTTGGGTTGGTGTTGGGGTGGGGGTGTATTGTGTGTCACACTATCACACAGCCGCAGAATTATACACCATACAGTCATATTGTGAGATTAGAGGATTATCAAACTATCACCCTCAAACATTTCAATGTAGAAGGTCTTAGACTGACCAGTTTAGCTGTTTCTTGAAAATCTTTATCCTCAGCAAGTTTCTACTGTTGTAGGTTTTTCCAACCTTATATATATATATATATATATATATATATATATATATATATATATATATATATATATATATATATATATATATATATATATATACACAGAGGGAGAAGGAGAGAGAAAGAGAAGGGGGGAGAAAGAGAGAGAGAGAGAAAGGGAGATAGAAAGAGAGAAATACCATTTCCGAGTACCGGAGAAAGTTGAAAGAGCCCGGAAGTATAGTGTGTACCACTACCGTTTACCGTAAATCGTTAAGAAGGTAATAAAAATGTGTTGGCACGTTTACAATACTTTCTTTATACTTTGTATACGAGAAAGTACACATGTAAGTAAAATTGAAATTCCAGTTAAATTGTTTATGTTAAAAGAAATATGTTCGGGCAAAACTTTCTCGGCGACCCGAACTTCTTCTTAACGGGTCGTGGTTTGTTAAGTGCCACTGTCGTGCAGTATTGACGAAATAGAAAGATGATGTTGATCGCAGGAAATTTTCTTCAAAAGCCGAACCAACGATGATAGATCGAACAAAACTAATACAACACAAGGTGACCTTGACAGACGTAAACTAACCGTTTGCTGTGTTCTACAGATATCTTTGCAATGCCTATATTGGCTGCTTCGTGAACTGTTTCTTGTGTAATCCATTTCTGATCTCCCTAGTATTAAAAAAAAAAACATTACAATTACATTACTTAATATACAAAGTGTTACAAGCTAAGTTGGGTTTTTTTCTCTGCCTCAGTCAATTAAATTTTAACGTCAGCTTAGCTTATTAGCTTGTTAGATTTTGTATTACTGTTTGTATAATTGGCTTTCAAAGGCTGATTATGATTTACATTTTTACATATCCATTTTAGTAATAATACAATTCAATAAAAATAATATATTAAATATAGTTATTTTTTTTAAAAATCAAGCGAGGTAACCATAGCTAAACTACGAGGTGAATATTTTTCATGTTTGTTCCCCTTTGA